TGAATTCTAATTGTGTTTCTTTTTCAGATTAAACCAGTATTTCTCAACATATTTTTTTAAAACAATGTCTCCTTTTGATAAATAAAAATTTCTCTGGCTCCTGTTCTGGTGGTAGTCCTTGGGGTGGGAGTGTGCATTATTCCTCCCTCCCATCCCCTCACTGAAAGTCATTGATACAAAGAAAATTGAAGATTTACTGAGCTTTATTTTCTGTACTTTGTAATCTGAAAACAATAGGCAATGTTTCCTTCTCCACGTATGAAACTGTATATTGAATATGCTTTTTCAAATTATATTACCCTTTCTCCCTCCTCCCTGAAATTTTGACACTCCCTTCCCATTGGAAATCGCTGCTCTCCATTCACTCTCTAGGTAATTTTATTGACTTGCATCTGTGCAGAGTACAGTTTTGTATCTCCAGTCCAGACTTCTTTCTTTTTTTTTTTTCTTTGAAGAAGATCAGCCCTGAGCTAACATCCAAGCTAATCCTCCTCTTTTTGCTGAGGAAGACCGGCTCTGAGCTAACATCTATGGCCAATCCTCCTTCCCCCCCCCCCAAAGCTCCAGTAGATAGTTGTATGTGATAGTTGCACATCCGTCTAGTTGCTGTATGTGGGACGCGGCCTCAGCATGGCTGGAGAAGCGGTGCGTCGGTGTGCGCCCGGGATCCGAACCCAGGCTGCCAGTAGCGGAGCGTGCGCACTTAACCACTAAGCCACGGGGCTGGTCCAGATTTCTTTCTGAGTTTAAGACCTGTATATCTATTTGTTGTACATTTCCACCTGGATATCCCATAGGTATTTAAAATTCAGTATGCCCCAAAGTGAACTTGTTATCCTTCTCCCGTAAACCAACTCTTCTTATATTATCTGATTGAGAGATAGGAATAACACTACTTTCCATATAGCTGCCTGGATTACTTTCTAATTGAGTTAGTTAACAAATGTTTGAACTCTTAATATTTTCCGATCCACCATCCCCTCCCCCTTTCCAGTGTTCCTGACCCAGTTCATGCCTTCATACATTTCTTGTGTAGATTTCTCCAATACTCCCCTAACCTGTGTCTTTGCCTCCAGTCTGCATTCTCTCATCCACGCTACCTCCAGGATGATTTTTCCAAAATATAGTAAGCTGTTAATATGCTTCTCTTGCTTAAAACCCTTTAATGATTACTAATGGTGTTCTGTAGTAATTTTTAGCCTGTTTTGCATCATGATCTAATTTGAGAATCTAATGAAAGAAATGGAGTGATTTTTCTCTCCAGAAGAAATTCTCAGGCACACAGAATTTGCATACAGTTTTAAGGGGTTCATTCATGGACCTGGTTAAAATAATTCCTGGCTTATAGGATAACACCCAAGCTTCCTAGCATGCCATAGCATACGTGGCACACCAAATGCTGACTACTGCTAACTGCTGAGCCCCATCCCTTTTCGATCTTATGATTTAGCCATGTCAAATTCCTTAATTTTGGTGTTGTTTTGTGCTGTTTCAAAGCACTTCAGTGCCTTTTCCTTGTCTTATGTATGTCTAAAATTCATTCCTGTCCATCCCCCAGCTGGTTCAATTAGTGAATACCTATTCATGTTCCAAGATTGGCTCAGATTTTACTTTAGAAAGCCTTTTGTGATTTCCACTTCCTTTTCCCCTTACCCAGGGAGAGTTACCTGTGTCCTCTTTTGAGTTGCCCTCTCCCACTCTATGGATACTGACTTGTATCATAGAACTTTGTTGTTCTGTTCTTATTTGTTTATATATTTTTGTTTTCTTCTACTTGGTTGAAAATTCCTCAGGGCAGGTGATTTATCTTGTCTTTGTGCCTAATGCCTATAGAGTACTTTGTATCTTAAGAAATGTGTGTTGAATGAACACAAAAAATTATTAGAAGGCATTATTTTCTATTTCAAAAGATGTAATTACTACGTCCATAGGTAGACTTTGCAGAATTAGAAGATTTTTCTAAACTATAAATTAGTGATCTTCACATGAAAGTAGTGTGTTATAATTGTTGGAGAATTGCTGTAGAAATTTTAAGAAAATTAGGTTCTGGTAAGGTCTTGATTGCAAACCACACAAAGTGATTTTTTGCTTATTTAAGCAGAAAAGGAACTTATGGAAAGGGTGTTAGGTAGCTCCCAGAATGGATGGGAAAGCTGGAAAATAGGCTTGGGAAACAGGAAGGAACCAAGAGAGACTGCTGCAGACTCAGCCAAGGTCAGTCCACAGGAATAGCATAGTTAGGACACTGCTACTGGATCCATACCACTGCCTCTGCTGAACTCATACCGCCACCTTCTCCAGAATTATCTTTAAAAGTATTTCCAGGGCTGGCCCGGTGGCTTAGTGGTTAAGTGCGCATGCTCCGCTACTGGTGGCCCGGGTTCGGATCCCGGGCGCGCACAGACGCACCACTTCTCTGGCCATGCTGAGGCCGCGTCCCACGTACAGCAACTAGAAGGATGTGCAACTGTGACATCCAACTGTCTACTGGGGCTTTGGGGAAGAAAAAAAGGAGGAGGGTTGGCAATAGATATTAGCTCAGAGCCGGTCTTCCTCAGCAAAAAGAGGAGGATTAGCACGGGTGTTAGCTCAGGGCTGATCTCCCTCACAAAAAAAAAAAAAAAAAAGTATTTCTAGATTCCAAATCCTAGGAGGGAGCCTCTAACTTGGCTGAACCTAGATTGCATATCTGTACCCTCGGTGCTAGGGAACAGGAGAGAGAATGTCTAGCCCATTTTAGCTTTTGTAGTGGGGTCTGGGAGATTTCTGTTTCCTGCTAAGATTGACACAGTGTGGGATGTTCCACAGATAGGAAATGAGGTTTTCCATTTCATTACATTACATGATAGCACTGCTGTTAGCTAATACCTGGCTGATAGGCCTCAGAAAACTTATTTTACCTCTGTGGGTTTCCCTTTTCTTATTTGTAAGTTTGAAATACTATCTTCTCGCTATTAAATGGTAACAGTGTGTGATCAAGTATTTTGAACTTTTTGAGAGTAAAACGCCCTGTAAGAATACAGTGAATGTGGCTTTTATTCCTGTGATGTCAGCCGTAACACTTTTTCTCTTTCTTTGGAGTATGTATTAATAATTTTGAAATACCTGTCTGGAGTTTATGGGAACTTTTGAAGTTGAACAGGGTAGTCCAAAGCCTATTGTTTGATTTACTGGATATTTTGATGTACTTGGGTAGCATTACCCCCTGAAGATAGAAACAGTAGGGACTTTAAATGTTGAACCAAGATTTCTTTTGATGGCCTAAGTAAACACTGATATAAGTAGCATTTTTTTTTTTTTTTAAAGATTTTTTTTATTTATTTATTTTTTCCCCCCAAAGCCCCAGTAGATAGTTGTGTGTCGTAGCTGCACATCCTTCTAGTTGCTGTATGTGGGACGCGGCCTCAGCATGGCCAGAGAAGCAGCGCGTCGGTGTGAGCCCGGGATCCGAACCCGGGTCGCCAGCAGTGGAGCGCGCTCACTTAACCACCAAGCCACGAGGCCGGCCCTAAGTAGCATTTTTTAAAAATTAAAATTAAAAAAATTAAATATGTTTTTTAAAGAGTATTTAACTATTCAAACAGATTTTCACGTTATCTTTCTTTTTATCTCTCTATATAGCCACTCTTTTATTTTCTGTACTTCAAATCCTGCATGTATTTTTTTCATTGTTTATCATTCTAGGACATTTCTCTTAGTTTGTTTATTAGAGATCTTAAATTTACCCAACATTGCCTGTCTCTTTTTCCTATTGTTAGTTATCTAAACTTCTTTTTCTTTCACTGCATATTTCTTGAGATCTTTTTTGTTGTTGTTGTTATTTATTTATTTATTTTTCCCCCAAAGCCCCAGTAGATAGTTGTTATGTCATAGTTGCACATCCTTCCAGTTGCTGTATGTGGGACGCGGCCTCAGCATGGCCGGAGAAGCGGTGCGTCAGTGCACACCCGGGATCCGAACCCGAGCCGCCAGTAGCGGAGCGCACGCACTTAACCGCTAAGCCATGGGGCTGGCCCTTTCTTGAGATCTTAAAGCAGTTCGTGTTATTGTTTTAAGTAGAAAACAAAGTTATTTGGAAACCTCTTAAGACATTTTGGTTTGAAACAACTATCGAGGTGCATAGTAGGGGGTCAAAAGGTACAAATTTCCAGTTATGAGTTAGTCATGGGGATGTAATGTACAGCATGATGACTAGAGTTAATACTATATTGCATATTTGGAAGTCGCTAAAGAAAGTAGATCTTAAAAAAAAAAAGATACATAATAGGTAAAACAGCTACTAAGTCCATGTGAAGAAGTGAGAGTTCTAGTAGTATTGATTAGGGTATAGGTTAGGATGTCTAATGAAGAGATGCAGAATAAAGTGGCTTAAGTAGCAGTCCAGAGGCGAGCGGTCCAGGCTGGCAGGGCAGCTCTGTTCCACATGGTCATTCAAGGACACAAGTTCCTTCTGTTTTGTTGCTTTGCCATCCCCTAAAGTGGCGTCCTTGTTTGCATGGCAAAGCTAGGTGTCTGCCATATTCACATTTCAAACCATAGAAAGGAGGAAAAAGGAAGTATTTAATGAGAGACCCCCAAATTACACATATAATTTCTGCTCATGTTTCTTTGGCTCAGACTAATCTTATGATACATTAAGCTGCAAAGGAGACTGGGAAATGTAGTCTGTAGCTGTGTGGCCATGGACCTAGCTAAAATTTAGGAGGCTTTATTAGTGAAAGAAATAAGAGGAATACTGGGGCGGGGGTGTAGCTAGTGTTTCTGTCATATAGGTAAAAATAGAGAAATGAGGGAGAGCTAGAAAGGGAAATTTACTTTTGATCTGAAATCTGAATGAATTCCCACTTATAAGTAAATTAAAGTTACATTTTTTTAAGATTACTGGAAAGAAAAGTCTGAGAAAAATTTATTTTGGTATTTAGTTGAATAATTGGAGTCAATGAGAAAATGTACTGCCATGTAATAAACTTTAAACTGAAAAAAAAATTCTGTGTTTTTAGGTTTTACACATCTGTAAGTAGACCTTTTTGGAGCTCTGCAAGCCAACTCAATGGCGTCCTCTACTACTGTGCCTCTAGGATTTCACTATGAAACAAAGTATGTTGTTCTCTGCTACTTGGGACTCCTCTCTCAGGACAAGCTGCAAGAGCAACATCTTTCCTCACCCCAAGGTATTATTTTTGGCTTATGGTGGTTATACTAAGTAGTAATAATTACTTCATATATAAAAGTATGTGTATCTAAGTAATTTATATCTGTGGTTATAAGATCAAATAATACCAATAAGCTTTTAAAGAATAACCCTTCATCGCATCCCTTCCCATCCCCTGATCCATTCCCAGAAGCAATTACTTTTAATGCTTTTTAAGAGCTTGATATTTTAAATGATTGCCATTGGTACATGTAAAAATGTACTAAGTACATGTAAATAAACAGAAATCCATCTGTTTTTAGAGATTTCATACTTAATAAGACATAGATTAGAATTACTTAAAATTATTTAAAAATTTTTAGTACAGCTAAGTTCTTTGAGTTGCTTTTTTTCAAGGATATTAGATTTAAACAATGGATTCATATACAGTAGTATCCCCTTATCCATGGGGAATATGTTCCAAGACGCCCAGTGGATGCCTGAAACCGCAGATAGTACTGAACTCTGTATATACTATGTTTTTTCCTATACATACATACATATGATAAAGTTTAATTTATAAATTAGGCACAGTAAGAGATTAACAACAATAACTAACAAAAAAATAGAATAACTATAACAATATACTGTAATAAATTGCCAGCATCACTACTCTTGCGCTTTGGGGCCGTTAAGTGAAATAAGAGTTACTTGAACACAAGCCCTGCAATACCACGACAGTTGATCTGATAACCGAGATGGCTACTAAGTGACTAACGAGTGGGTAGCATATACAGCAGGGATACACTGGACAAAGGGATGATTCACGTGCCAGCAGGTTGGAGCAGAATGGCATGATATTTCTTCATGCTATTCAGAATGGCACAAAATTTAAAACTTAGGGATTGTTTATTTCTGGAATTTTTCATTTAATATTTCGGACCTCAGGTAACTGAAACTGCAGAAAGCAAAACCACAGATAAGGGCAGACTATCTGATAGACTTAGAGGGTTTTTAGCACAATTCTTTGTATTGTGAAGTTGTATATATCCTTCTTTAAATAGTTTGCCAAACGAAGCTTAAAACAGTTATGAAATCTGAATTAGTCTTCTTCATTAAGATGTAATATTGGGCTGGCCCCGTGGCTTAGCAGTTAAGTGCGTGCGCTCTGCTACTGGCAGCCTGGGTTTGGATCCTGGGTGCGCACCAACGCACCGCTTGTCCGGCCATGCTGAGGCGGCGTCCCACATACAGCAACTAGAAGGATGTGCAACTATGACATACAACTATCTACTGGGGCTTTGGGAAGAAACAGGGACAAAAAAGGAGGAAGATTGGCAATAGATGTTAGCTCAGGGCTGGTCTTCCTCAGCAAAAAGAGGAGGATTGGCATGGGTGTTAGCTCAGGGCTGATCTTCCTCACGCAACACACAAAAAAGATGTAACATCATCATCTTAAATATTCTCATCCATAAATTTCTCCTGCAGCCATAGAGGTAATTCTTATTTATCTACTGCCATTCTAGCTCAAGAAAGGGTAGTGTTGAGAGAATTCAGAAATGATGGAATCCAGTAGCCATTCTAACAGTAGGGATGACAGAAGGTATCTTAACAATGCTAATTTAAATAATTACATATAACAAGTGGGTGTTTTCTGTTTTTAAATATTGAATCATATTTTAAGTACCCCAAGGCAGGTTGCTATTTAAACAAAATTACGTCAAAATGACCTTAAAAACGCATAAAAGAAAATGCAATACCAAATATTTATTATTTCACCAAACTCACACAGCAACTATTTTACTTTCTGTTGTCTTCTAATCTTTATCAATATACACATAGTTTTTACATAGTTGTAATAAATTATTTGTGATTTTTTTCACTCAGTTTTATCTTAAAAACATGTTTACATATTTCTATATCTTATCTCTTCCGTTATTGTATGTCTAAATGTTTCCAGTTTTTTTTGAAATCAATAGCACTGCTATAAAATTTTTGGTTTACCACAAAAGCCTGTTTACATAGGTCACTAACACTGGAAGTAGGGCTTTAATTGAAAAAGTCAATTAAAAGAGGGAATTGTAAATAAAGAGGTTATTATAAAAAATTTTAATTTAAAATGTTAATAAATGTACATTTATTTAGCAATTTTGATGTAGGGCCAAGGCTTTTTTTTGAACATGGGTCTGTTTGGAATTCCATGTTATCTTTTTAGTGTAAACCATATCTCTTACCTAGAGTTTCCAATTTATGTTTATTTAAAGTGGAGTAACAACATAAAGACACTTATAAAACAATCTGATGGAAGAGACATTCTAAATTTTTATGATTTTTCTCCCAATGTTTTACAGTTGTTTCTCTCACACCCAATTTGATATGGTATTTTTTAAGAATTTTTTTTCTTTTTTCCTCCCCAAAGCCCCAGTACATAGTTGTATATTCCAGTTGTAAGTCCTTCTAGTTCTTCTGTGTGAGCTGCCACCACAGCATGGCTACTGACAGACGAGTGGTATGGTTCCATGCCTGGGAACTGAACCCGGGCTGCCAAAGCGGAGCGCCACGAACTTTAACCACTAGGCTGTCAGGGCTGGCTCTGATATGGTATTTTTAAAGCAACTTCCTAAAACATTTAATTTAGCTTTCATAGAAATATCAAGTCTCTTTGCACAATCATATTTCAATTATGTCTATGATTTTTAATGTTATACAATTTCAATGACAAGTATAATTTTTATAAACGTTCGGAGAAAAATAACTGATTCTTGGTAAGCATACGACTTACGCAAGTGTGCCCGAAGGTAGTCTACTAGCTGCATGTGTTCAGCTTGCTGTGGGCATTTTCAGTATGGGCTTTTTTTTTTTTTCCCCCAGTATGTTTTATAGTGAGACTATAGTGGGTCTCTTAATCCAATAAATCACTTCAGTGGAGGTTAGTTAAGAGCACTTCTACTATATATTGCTTTTTTTTCAGTTATTTACTTTTGCTAAATTATCTAGATTCAAACTACTGAATCAAAGAGTAATAGTATTTTTATGAGGAGCTTGCCATTTGAAATAAATATATGGCCTTTAAATTGTCATACCATATAACATATCTTTTTAAGTTTTCACACATTGTCTTTAAAACTAGTTATAACTTCTGAAAATGCTGGATCCTATTGTTCTAAAACTTGGTTATTTAGACTCAGTGAACATCTACCATAATAGACTTACTGTGAGTCCAATTGGGTAGTTGCGTTGATAGTGATTAATGCATAAATGGTTAGCACATCTGAGAGAGGAATTGTGTCTGTACAACATTTCAGTTTGGGAGGAAGATTCTGGGAATTAATTTTATGAAACGTGGTTTTTATATTGAACCTCCTAGAACTTCATAGGTTCCAAAAGTAGACATAAAGACTCAGTGGATTAGAGCAAGACAATTTATTACTCTAGCCCAGCAAATGCCAGGAGTGTTACCATGGTAGCACTGGTTCCCCTGCCCCTAAGTACCATAGGGTAATGGGATGAGCCCACTTGATGGCATTTCATATAGTGTCTTGTACTGCAGCTGAGGAACCAGTGCTAAGGGCTTAGCCCCTTTTGTAGCAAACAGTAAGCAAGCCAGTTCCCCTCTCCTAGAGAGCGAGCAGTCCATTGTGGTCATTTTGGCCTACCTTCATGACTACCTACCTTGCCTTCATGACTAACTATAGAAATGGCTCAGAGTCAGAGGACAGGCCTTTAGTTTGTCATACTCAGCAAGGACATACAGGGATGCTTGGGGCTCATTGCAGGCTACTGCTCCCAACAATTTACCCCTGAAGATTAAATGCAGTGACATTCAGTGGAATCCATTCAGTTTGTCTCATATAACACTTGATTAAGGCCATTATCAACAAAATCTGAATTAGTGGGATGAGTCCATTCTGCAGTGTTAATCTCAGCCATCCACCTGAGGACCCTAGATTCTGCCGAGTGAATAAGTCCTGAGGGGACTAGTAGGTCTTTTTTCAGATAACCACTTAGCTTCCTTTCCTTTAGCATGTATGGATTGTTCCACCTAACCAGTAGTATTAATCCAGCTCAACAGGAGGTGTTGTCAACTGTACATACTCCTCCCTATTCAGCCAGGATGTAGTCCAGGACCAGTCTATTACCCATTATAATCCGTGCAAGAGCATTTAGACTGATCTGCTGATCTTCTAGGGCTTGTGCCATCTCATTGGCTATGGTAGCTAAAGTTAGGTATAGGTTCCTGATTATTATCTGTAGGGCATGAACTCTAATACCAGGGAACAATATTTGCTCTGCTGTGTGAAACCAGGAGTCAGTGTATCCCTGGATAGGACAGCCTTCTTTACCTGGGGATTCAACAAGGAGAATGCAGTCCAAGGGGTGGTGTCACTGACTCTTAGGAATATTGTCCAGGGTAGAGTTGGCAAAGAGCAAGCCTTATAGTATTAGATTTAGTTCATTAAGAAACATTTTCCAGTTTGCAGCAAAAGCTAATTACTAAAGCAATTCCTTATTTGATAACAGTAGTTGAAGGTGGTTCTTGTTCAGAAGAATTTCATTCTCATTCTTGGGCTCAAAAAATTGCAATAAGGAGGAGTGACGTCAGCATCATGGCGTAGTGAGCTTTCCAGTAAACTCTTCGCATGATAAGATACAACAAAAGTGTCAAGCATAGACCAAGAGGAGACACTCAGACTGCACAGACAGACATCAGAAAGACCCACACTGCCGCACATCTGAGAGTTTACGTTCTGGGGCCCCCAGAGGAAGTGGGGAGAGATAAGGAGAAATCCTCTCTCTCCCCATCAGATCAGCAACATGGGTCATGCGGCTCCTAGAGAGAGGGGAGAGGTGGCCCTCTGCAGGGAAATCGTAGCTCTTCAGGCTCTCTCAGCCAGTGAGAAACTCCACAAGAGGACTCAGAACTTCTGCAGGGGTGCCATCAACATCTGAGCACCCCAAGAGAGCAGATAACGAGGGGTGAGTGAGAAGCACCCCCCCCCCAACCCAGAGACCCAGTGGGCAAGGGAGAGAGCCCCTTAC